TGCATGATTATAGTAAAAAATAAAAGTAAAAATCTGAACTGTTGGCCAGTAGAAACAGTCCTTATTGTTGAGTCCTGAGTGAGGAAAGGTGGATCGGATAATGGAGGAAAGCACTGTTGAATGGTTATATGGTTAGTGCCTGAGCACAGTCTACAGTCATTGAACTCTCACTGTGGTGTAATGTAAGTTAATTGGCCTTAGCTAGACAAAGACACTCTCTCAGAAGAAATATAAACAAGGCTCAAAATTAACGCTGAAAAGACAAGTAAATAAAGTGGAACTACTTGCTGGTTTTTGATAACTTTACAAGGAACTGCAATATATTAAGTCAACTATAAGAATGAGAGTTTGTCACTTGTTGATTTAACCAGTGCAAGTAATTCAAATCAAAGTCTAAATAAAATGTCTGTTCTGCATCTTCTAAAGTCCTTTGCGTCAGTGGAAAATAATGTGGAATATTCTTTCATTAACCAAAGCAAATATATTATGAACATGTGTCTTTTTTATGTTTTTATGACAGGTGCTGTTTTACAGTCAGACAGACAGCTTGTTTATGTTGTTTCTGATGTTGACACAGTAACCTTAACCATTCGTACTAATAAGTAAAACAACAGCTAAATAATCCTATATACACACACACACATTCACTCACAGTATATATACCTATTTATTAAAACTAGTAATATATAAATAATAAATATATATGAAAACATCATGACCAGTTAGAAATATTTATATATTTATTAATAATTGTATTCACTCACCATTGTGTATTTTGGACCCTGCATGCAAATAACTGACCCAATGAGCCCATGCTATGTTAGTGTAGTTAGCAACAGAGTTTAATGCTATTCCTTAATACATTTTTTTCATAAACATGTAGATCTCTCTTTTTGCAGTTCTTATGGGTCACACATAGGATACTTACTTGCATTGATCTATGGAACAATGAGGACCTGCTTGGGCAGGTCCCGACTGCTTCATTTGTGCATGCATTTATAGTGAAAAGACAATCATTACACCTTTAAGCACAATTAAACTATAAGAGTTGATAATGACTAATATGCAAAGTTGAATGATTACTGGGAACTGAGTGAAAGAATGACCCCTGCTGCAGAATTAGTGTTTATTTGCCTATTCCTCTTTCCTGTTGCAATATTGATTTTAAAAAGATCTTTGTTTAACACAGACATAATAAGACTTTAATCAGTGTCAGAATGAATCAGACAAATTGCAGAAACAATAAATGTGGATTGTGGGTTACTGAAAGCAACACAAAGGCCTTCTTTTTATTATTATTTTTTACATTGTGGTTGTTGTCACACCATATAGTCTAAAGTTCAAGGCTGCAAAGACTTTAGTCGGCTTGCAACACTTTTTCGTGCGTACAGAGCAGCAGATATATTTGGCCATAAAAACATATCACTCCTAGTTATTGAACAGACTGAGAAACAACTTCATTTCAAAGTTAGACTACTTTTTTTTCTTTCAGAGGCACTAAGGTGGGGGAGTGAGGGTGAAAAAACAGATTGGACCCTGAAATTGTTGTTCTGCTCTCTGATTGGCTGACTCTTGTTGCTAGGCTTATGTCTTTTGTGTTTTTTTCGATCTTTCTTCCCCCTGTTCTCTGATAGGTCAGGATGGAACTGTTTCAGACAAGGGCTGCGTCAGGCAACTTTTCTGCCACTTGTTGAACATCCGAAGGCTTGTGGTTTTAGCGCGGCTGCTCGTTCAGCACAAGAAAAACAACAGCACAGAGACACATTCACACAGAGAGGCACTTCTACAAACACACCCTGTTACTCAGAAAGTGTTCACACACACATAATGAAAACATTTTCACCGGCAGAAAGTCATGACCAGAGCCAGAGTTATTGGCAGATGCTGGCTGTTTTTCTCGCAGCTCCAAGAAATCAGCTTTTCAATCTAACATTCACATATATAGTCCCAAATGAACATGACTTAAATCTGGATTTTCACACTTGAGGAAATACTAAAGAGATCTCCACAGCTGGAATTGCGAATTAAAATTCTATTTAATGAAGCATAAGTTTTAGTTTTGAAGTTTTTTTTTTTAAATGGCTAAATATTTCTTATATGGCAAAAATATTTCGGTTTTAGTAAAATAATCTGTAAAAGTGAAGAAAATACGGATATAACATAGGCGTCCTATGATAATGATAATTTCATTGTTTAACATGCTTTACTGGTACATAAAAAAAATAAAAAAAAATTGATAATTTGTGATTTCTTCTGATGCATATGTCTGGACCTGTTTCTATTGTGCGGTGCCTAAATGAATTAATCAATGGAAAAATGACTTAAAATAACTCCAAAAGCAAGATTTATTATTAGTTGTTTTTTAGGTTTGTTTTCGTATGTGGATGGAGTCATTCCACTTTTTGTGGTCTATTTCCATATATATAACCAACTGAGCAGCTGAGCCAATGATATGATACGGTCAATGTTATGATACGGTGTGGGTACAGTAAAGCCTTAAGTTTGTTCTAAGATAATAGTTATGGCTCTTTTAATAAAGAGAGTAAAGGGTGCCCTGGGGGAGATGGGCGCAAGGCAAACGCTGACTATTCTCTTCTGTAGGTTTGCTGAGCCATAGGGCTCAGTGGGCCTGGTTAACCACCCCCTATCTGCTCTGGTCTGTTTACACCCCCTCAGCCCCCCAATGTAGGATGGTCCCTTCAGACACAATGAACATGCTGAATTGCTACTCTTCATCTAGTGAACGATGCCAAATCCAAACGCTTTGACAGCCTTCTGCTCGTGCACAGGACTTTAATTAATGTTTGTTTGGCTTTATTACTCCACAATATATTCTACAATAGTGCATTTCACCATACAGAGGGAAAAATAAGACATTATGCTTTATGCATTATGCTTTAGTTGTGAATAATTCAATATGTTGGTAAGATTAAAGCTCAACTGTATGAACATAATTCTGAAGTGCATTGCATTGCATCATCTTGACATATTTAGTCTGTAAACCTGTAGAAGTTTTTTTTTCTTTTTTCTTGAAAATAACCCATCTCTGAGCCAAAACCGCTACTTTATCTATTAGGTGCCTTGATTTGTCCCCTGTGGGGCATATTAAGCTGTCAGTAGGAACTGTCAGTAGGAATTGATCTTGGCTTGTTTTTCACCGTAGACCATGCATGCTATCCTCCTCATTCACGTTGCGGGGCTTGATTACTGCAGTTCACATTTACTCAAGGAAAAACATTCCCTCACACTTGCTTGGGCTACTTACATCTGTCCCTTTCACCAGGCAGTTGGAACTGCAGGAGGTAACAATGTCATAGACTAGACAAATCATGATTATGTAAATAGGTTTATTGGAAGGCCGAGTTAAAAGTCTGTTAAGTATTAACCAACATTAGAAAGCTTTTCCAGTCATATGCCTGAAACCAAAGAAAAGCTCCCCATCAAAAGTGCACTGAGATAGAAACAACTCCACAATTCATAGACAATTTCCATATAAATCAGTTAAATAAATCCAAATATATAAATAAATAAAAAGTTTTCAATGTTTAGTTCACCCAAACATGAAATCGTGTCATTTACTTTCATTCATGTTGATAGCTGTATGACTTGCTTCTGAAACACAAAAGGAAATGTTAGGCAGAATGTGAGACCTCACTATTCAGTTTAATTGCATCTTTTATTCCAATAAATGATATGCTCTTTCTAACATGTCCTTTTTCACTACAGAAAGAAAGTCAAAGGTGTTTACAACGACGTGAGTGTGAATAAATGATGACAGAATTTTCTTTTCTTTTTTTGCGTAAACTACGGTTTGAAGTCGCAAGTGTCTTTTAACCCCGCCCCCTTGGCGTTGATTGGACAACATAGGTTGTTTTCGTAACGCGATTGGCTACTGGACGCGTCAGTCATATTTACAGCCTGTTATTTACCAAAAGAGAGCTAGGAAAGAGTGGGTATTCTGCTCGGGAGCTTCAACAGCTGGTATGAACGGGTAGCGTAACCAAATGCCTCAAGGAACAACGGGAGCTAAAACAAGATAGTCGCTCTATTTTTTTTATTTAGAAGCAGAAAAGCTCAATATGAGGCACGCATCGACATCTAATGAAACGATGGAAAACTCCTCTCTCACCATGACAGACTTGTTCAAAATTTGCACACAGTGCGAGCGGCTAAGTAAAAAGGTAAGAAACCGAACAAGAGCTTGACATCGAGTTTAACTTATGACAGATGTATTTTTTAGTTAACTTGCTTCGTTGGTCTTCTTTTTTTCCGTGGGGTTTAAATCATGTCCGTTTGCTGCAGTGCAGCCTGTTCTTTGTACTTGCATCATGAACACTGCTGGCTTGTTTTTCTCAGTCTTCTGTCGTCGGATCAATAGACACTCGTCTTTTATCAATGACTGACGGTATTAAAATCAGTGTCACATTGTCTAAATGTTGTTGTTGTTGTTTTTATTCAAGCAAAGCACTAAAATCAAATATGCAAGATAGCCTTTGTGTGGAACTGATGTATGTTTCTGCAAGGGGACAGATTGAATTGCTCGCGGTGTCAAGTTAAATAGCATTTAGCATTTAATGTAGTTTTACACCATTGCTTGCATATTCCTGAGTCAGCTATTTTGGCATGATTATGTCACTGGTATATTGCAAACTCGGACAACCTTTTTGTTCATAGGGAATCTAGGTTGTTTCGAATCATTCTCTTTGTGCCTTTCACAGCTTCTATTGTATCAATAAGCAGATTAATTATGTTCAAGATCTGACTGTTGCTACTGATTGCATTATGTATTATGTTATGTATTATAAAGAATTTCTTTTCTAGCCCATGCCAGAGAAAATTCTAGAACCAGCCATTGATGTTTGAGCTGAGGAAGGCTGTTGTTTTTAAGAGCTCTGGTCTGATGCCAGGATTTCTTCAATATAATAATCATAGTTTTGTGCCAAATGCTTCTCTCAGTTTTGACATGTATGTAATTATGTTATTGGTTTTGATCTTTTTAGGACGTTGGAGTGCGAATCCCCAGACCGATGGGAAATGGACCAAGTAGATTCATACCAGAGAAAGAGGTTAGTGTTAACATCAACCCTGCTGGATTTAAAGTTGGCATGAATCTTACTCCAACCATTATAATCAACAAATTGCACCCCCCTTTTGTTTATCATCACAGTCTAGTGAAGCTATTTTACCAGCACTGAATTCCCCAGGTTCACCTCATCTTTATTGCCCTGTTGTCCCAGATACTTCAAGTCAGTAAATTGAATGAAAGAACACAGTCGATTTTTGAGGACGCTTTCGCAGTGCTCGGTCGCCTTGACAACATCTCCTTGGTGATGGGGTTCCATCCTCAGTATTTGGAGAGCTTTCTTAAGACACAGCATTACCTGCTTCAGATGGACGGTCCATTGTCTCTGCACTGCAGACATTACATAGGGATAATGGTGAGACTGCAGGCTGTATTTTTGTATGCAACCTAAAAATCACAATGATAGATTCTTCTAAAGGAGTGTCCGTGTTCAACAGGCTGCTGCTAGGCACCAGTGCACGTATCTGGTCAACCTGCACGTGAATGACTTCCTGCAGGTCGGAGGTGATTCCAAGTGGTTGAATGGTCTGGAAGAAGCCCCACAGAAGCTGCAGGCTCTTGGAGAGCTCAATAAGATCCTGGCCCATCGCCCCTGGCTGCTCACCAAAGAACATATTGAGGTATGACTTCAACCTCACAGTCACACATGGACACACGCCTACAGCTTTGTTGTGCTGTAACGAGCACAACAAAGTTTTATAATGCTGTTAGAGGCAACTATGAAGTATTAGGTCAGTCTGGTTTAAGTAGTTATGAAGTTTATTAGCTGTAATGGAGTTATAGTTGGTGTAATATTTTATTATTCCTTAGAAGAAAAAAAGTGCTTATTTGAAAAAAATTGTCAAATGTCAATGTGTGATTCCTCCCTAAAATTGGGAATTTGTATTAATATTTGTAAAGAAAACTTGCCTTAAAAATTTAAATATATATAAGTTTAAAACGGTGAATAAAATAAATATATATATACAGTATATGCTATTACGTTTTACTTGATGGTTACGACATGAGTCATTAAACTGAAACTTTTCTTTTTCACTTTTTCAAAACCGCCTGAAACCAACATGAATACCAAGAGTACATTTCTAAGAATTCGATTTTTTCTAATCTTTTTCATTTTCTTTGTCGTGGACACTCTTACATATCATTGGCCTTCATATTATTATTTTTTTTCTTACAGCGTCTACTGAAGGCTGAGGAGCACAGCTGGTCCCTGGCCGAGCTGATCCATGTTGTGGTGCTACTCACACTCTATCACTCTCTGGCCTCCTTTACGTTTGGTTGTGGCATCAACCCCAACATCCACACAGATGGAGGACATACGTTCAGGCCGCCCTCGCTCAGCGGTTACTGCGTTTGTGACATTGCCAATGGCAACAGTGCCCTGGAGGAAATGTTTGGGAACCAGCAGGTGAGACAGAGGGAAATGTATGCAAAGAAAATGATTGCAAGACGTTCTAATTTTTTTGCTAGTCTTCCATTCAGTGGTCCTGAAAAGGGATCTGTGGAATGCATGGAGTGCATGGAGTTCAAATTCCTAACCACATAGTGCACATAAACTGTGATGACCTAGATTCCTGTATGCTTGTGTTTAGGTGTCCGAGTTCTCTGGTGAGGTTGAAGTGCTGATGGAGAAAATGAAGCAGCTCCAGGAATGTCATGACGAAGAGGAAGCCAGTCAGGAGGAAATGGCCACTCGTTTTGAGAGGGAAAAAACAGAGAGCATGCTGGTAGTCACCTCTGGTAAGTGGATTTTTACATTTTTATTTCAAACTACAACACCAGGATGACTTGTATTAAAGCATCATGTTTGGTCAACAGAGGATGAGGAGTGTGTACCATCCAGAGATGTTTCACGACATTTTGAAGACCTTAGTTACGGCTACAAAGACTTCTCCAGGAGAGGAGAACATGTACCCACTCTCAGAGTGCAGGTGAGAAGAAAGTCAAATGGTCTTCCTTGTTGCCAGTCAAAGGAAATGGAGGATTATAATAATAACAGAATTGTGATATTTTCCTGCCCTTGACAGGACTATAGTTGGGAAGATCATGGCTTTTCCCTGGTGAATCGGCTGTATCCGGATTTTGGACAGCTTCTAGATGAACAGTTCCAGATCGCATACAATCTGACGTACAACACAATGGCGACACACCAGGGTGTGGACACTTCCATGCTTCGTCGAGCCATCTGGAACTACATCCACTGCATGTTCGGGATTCGGTAAGCCTCTCCACGCTTCTTTGTTTCACAAATATGTGGTAACTTTAAATATATTTGGTTGTGCTGTAAAAATTTGTTTATGGTTTGTCATTCTACATGTATACATACATATGTACATAGATATGCGTGTTTTATTTTTAAATTTTTATTTAGATGTTATTTAAATAATATTTATTAAGTTATTTAAATAATATTGCTGAGGTATCTTTCTATCTCTGTCTATTGCATGGCAGGTACGATGATTATGATTATGGAGAAATTAACCAACTGTTAGACCGCAGTTTTAAAGTCTACATCAAAACTATGGTGCGCACTCCAGAGAAGATCACCAAGAGGATGTATGACAGCTTCTGGAGGCAGTTCCAGCACTCTGAGAAAGTAAGAAGCACTTCAGAAACACAAAAATGAACAGGCACAGATTATTTGTGAAAGTTAAATCCTCTTGCTTTGAGTTAATAACGATTCTTTTCTTTTGTCTTTCAGGTCCACGTTAATTTGCTTCTTATGGAAGCGCGCATGCAGGCAGAACTGCTCTACGCTCTGAGAGCTATCACTCGCTACATGACATGAAGTACTGTTCGTCTTATCTTTTTATAAAATTTTTTTACTGTCGTTGACGTTGGACACTTCAATAAACGTAAAAATGACAAAAAAAAATGAAAAAAAAACAAAACTGAGGAAGAAGAACAACAGGTGGCTGCGGAGGATGATGACAAGGTTGTTTTGTTTAAAAGAAGGGAAAAAAAACAACTGTCAACTGAACCTACTTGTTGAAATCACTTGTGTGGCTGCTCAGCCTGCAGTGCCAAAACTGGCCACTGGGGGGGGGGCTCTGAGAAGAATCCCTCTAGTGTGTAAGAGGACAAGCTGAGACTGCCAGCTTCTGGAGGCCAGACCTCCTTTAGTATTTCAAATGCATCTGCGATAAGATGCCATATAATCATATCTTCTTTATGTGAGATGAGATTAAAAAACAAAAACACAAATAGCAACTCCAGCACCAGTGCAGAAAGACTGCACTGACAATACTATCTACTAGTGTTTTTTTTTCCTTATCGTTTTATATTGGGTTTTTTTTTTCCAGCAGTGGCTAGAGATAGAAGCATTACTGATTTTGCATAAACGCGTGCCTAGTCATGCTTAGCACTGGCAACAGGTGCTGAGGTGCCGTCTGTTCATGCTGCTTTTCTCAATTGAGAGGCCTCAAGACACCCAAACCATCACCCATTTGTATAAGCTAATCCAGGAACGATTGTGTTAGTGTGAGTGTGAGAGCGCAATTCAAAAGTAATAGCTGTCTGAGCCCTTGTTAGAGTTTACTGTAAGACACCACTTTGTCTCATTGTGACATTTCCAATGTGTGAATGCTACGGGGGGGGGGGAATAGAGAAATAAAATCCAAACATAGGCTATTTTGGGGGTTCATGCATTAAAAATATCAAAGCACTTTTTTTTTTTAATGTTAAGCTTCAGCTGTTATGTAGCCATTTTGTTTCGATGACCGTTTTCTATCTTTTTTTTTCATTTGTGTTAGCAACTTTCAAAGTGGAAAGGTCTTCCTTTTGTGACGTGCTTCCTGTTGCTCTGATCCATCCGTCTTCTTCCCTTTAACGCACGGTCATCTTAACTCCTTGTTTTTATTTTTATTAATTTAAATACCTCCTTTTTATGTATCCTTAAATATCTTAAGTGCTGTCTGGTTAGCAGAACCTTGTCTTATGTGGCTGCCTGTCATGCGCTACAATCTGTACAGAGCTAGATGCTGAACCAGGCGAGCCGCATGACTGCATGGTAGTGGGGTTAAACCATGCTTGTTCTTATTATCAGAACTTTAACCAGTGTAACTAAGCAAGTTTTGTTTTGAGTGTGTGTGTTTTCTTTTCAAGCGGGGTGGATTCTCTGCTGTCTTTTCTTGTTTACTAAACCAGTTAAGTACTGCATTCTGATGATGGCAGGACTAGAGGGATGGTACTTTTTCTTTTGGAGGAGGTTTTAAGTCAGACTTGAGAGACTAATGTCAGTTACTGACAATTTTATAAGAAATTATTTGTAAAAAAAAAAATAAAACATGGTATTTCACTGGTTGTATCATTTGTAATTTAATCTGGAGTCTTTTTCTTCTCTGAAAGTCACAGATGACGATGCATTACACCAAACAATTTTTGTTATTCATTATTAATTGCAAAAAAAAAAAAGATTTGAGCAGTCCAAACACCTGAACTAACTGAAGGTTATTTATATGCTTATTAACAATAATAACACTTTAAGATATTGTTTATATAGCTTTTAGGTCACATAATCAATGTTTTTATGTCCATGAACATCCACCTAACAGTAGAGACCCTTGTAGCAAAGCAATATATCAGCACAGACACTACAGGCCTATAGAAAAGCATCCCCTGCTGTGCACTAATGATTTCAACACAATGTTGAATGAGGCAATTTGTCCTCTCACAGCGAGGATTAAAGCAAGTAACATTGTTAACCTTGGAACCATCCCTGTTTGCATAAATAAGGAAATTTTCCCTTTTGTTGTTTGTAATTTCCCTATTTGTTTGTGGTTATGAGGCTGGTGGTCATTTAGTGCCTGTAAATGGTCATTAAATGGAAATAACCATAGGCTAGTTGTTGCTCATTTTAAAAGAATAATGTGAGAAGTTGGGTTCCCCTTTTAATAACGATAAAGTATCTTGTTCTTTTCTGAAAAAGTCCCTTGGATATTGTACAGGAGTTAAACAGCTTCAGACTATACACAATGAAGACTGAGAGGAAAACGTTAAATCTCAGTAAATAGTGATTAAATAAACTTCACAAAAATACAATTTTGGTCATTGGTTTTTAAGCATGTATGTAGGTCACCTCTAGGGCAGCTGTGTAAACTTCATAGTAATGTATAGACTGTAACTGTGAAGTGTTAACCGGTTAAGAGGAGGGAAGCCAGTGCCATATTATATCAGTTTGATGTGATTGTATTAAGAAATTATGACAATGTTTCTATTCTGTGTTCTTTACAGACTTTTCTGGAAGTGTCTGTTTAATAAAGTCTTTGAGATCATGGAGGTGCTTGTGAGTGATTTTTGCATGTACATTAGTTTGGTGTTCATGAACATAAGACTTGCTTTCTGTGTCTGACACAATCCATGCCTTCTCCTATTCAAGCTAAATACAGCAGCATAATGTTGTGTGATAAACATTTGAACTATTTTATTTTAAAAAAATGTGTTGGTCATAATTGACAAATTCCCTATTCAGTTCACAACATTAAAAGAGATATTGTATTAAAGTGCAATATACACACTGTCTCTTTCCTCATCTTGTAGGTGTACATAAAGTACATGCATATACACACACAGACGAGCATGTGACTTCTGGAGAGGAGGAGTGTGTCAGTGGAGCTTACGGAATGATTCCAGTAGTGTCTTCAATATGAAAACGCTGTCTAAGCCTCTCAGCTACAGGCAAAAACAGCAGCTCCCAGCATGTTTCCTGGACCTGTCTGACTCCATCATCAGAAGACCACTGCAAAGCTCCTCTGTCTGTCCAAAACACAAGACAAAATGTCTACATTAAGTGCATACAAAATTTTTAATCATTAAAATAAACAGTGTTTTCTTCATGTAATGTCATATGTGCAGTGCACATGCCAAAGTTACTGTCAACTGACAGTGTAATTTGATTAATATTATACATACACAATTTGTTTTATATATTGTTTTACATTGTCATATACATAATTTACATTCATATTTTAATAATAAAATAGAAATATATATATATATATATATTAGATATGTATTAAAATTGTTATCAAATATTAAAATAAAAAAATAGAATTATAACATACTTTATATTGTATTGTACTATATTTGATTGCAAATTAATATTTTAAATATTAACGCAAATTAATTATATATAATAAATCAAATTTGTTATTTTATTTTAATTATTATATACACATGTATCATTTGAATATTTTTGACCGTTGCAAGCAATGACTGTTATCACTTTTTTAGTTTTTAATTAATTGTACCAAATTAGCATATTAAACTGCCAGTGCTGATGCTTGTGTGTTTATACGTATGTACCTGTGTAGAGCCACAAGATCTCCAACAGCTCTTCAGCATGTTGTAGCTCTCCATCTAAAGAGCAGTTCCACAGAGTCTGACACACAACAGTGGCCAGATGCCAGTCCTGAGGCCCGAAGTCATGCAGACAGTCAATAAGCCTGCAATATGGAAATAGAGAGAAGGCATAGTACTTATACATTATACATACAGTGTTGTCAAAAGATGAAAGCATACTGAAGAGAGAGGCAAGTTACTTCTGAACAGTTCCCTCGGCCCTCAGCATGGCCCTGTTGTCTGGATCTGCAGATAGGTTGATGAGAACTCCACATGCAGAAAAACACACATCAGGGGTCTTGGAGTCCAGGAGGGTTACCACATACTGCTCCACTGAGACACAAAAGACCAACACGACGTCAGACTCTGGAGGTTTGGATACAGAAAAAGTGGTAGAGAGAGTGTCTCACACCTTTGTGCTGCATGATGAAGTGTCTCACATCTTTGATCTGCGACAGATTTCCAAACACACATGTGGCCTCCAAAACAGCATCCATACTGGAGCTCAGCAAGAGCTTTAGTAGCACTGCAATGACAGAAGGACAGGCGGGAGGGGGACATTACTGAAGGACCAAGACAGATGCAACATACAGGCTGCGTGCACACACACACACACGCACACACGTCTTACACTGTGAGATGTGTGTGTGCTGGGCACGGACCACTGAGCTCATGCCTTGGTAGAAAGACAGGTTGTTGATGGTGGCCACAGCATTAACCACTAATTCTTCACTTTCCTGTACACACCTGCACTCTGAGAGAGAAGGGCAAAAGACACAGAAATCTTAGAGAAAACTTGTACAGAATAGGGATGCATTATAAATATGTATAATTCGTTATGCATGTTTATTTCCTTGATTTTTCATTTGGACTACATTTGCCATCATCTAGTACTCACTTAAAGCGACTCTATTAATTGAAAACACTAAGAATTTAATAACACAGTTATATCTATCAAATTTTAAATAGGGTTATTATAGTTAACTAAAAAAAAAAAAATTTGAAATATATGTTAACTGAAATGAAAAAAAAGCTAGTTGACAAGGCAACGTTTTCATTTAGTTTAACTTTATGTACTAAAATAACTAAAACTGAAATTATAATAAATACAAATTGGTATTTAAAAGGACAAAGTAAACAAAAAATTACTAAAACTTTAACCAAATTGAAATAATGGAAAATATGAAAATATAAACATTCATGAAATAATAATATAACAGTATCTCAATGATACTAAAATAAGAGTATCCATTTTTCTACAATGCATTATAATGTTGTGATGCCTAAATTCACTTAGAATTTAAAACAGCTGATTGTTTGGTTTTTAGAGTTTTATTTTGAGTGTATTAATACAATATAGTACAGAACATTAATTTAGCCTATTTAAACAACTGTTAGTTCGTCAAATCACTTCCCTTATGAAAAGTAACCTTGGGTTTTATTATAGTAAATATGTAGTAACCAAGGCTTTTTTTATTTGACTGATTGTTTACCATTTGTATAACCACAGTTTTACTACAAATACCATGGTTAAACTATAGTTAGTGTAGCAAAATCACGAGTAATTTGTGGTTAACATGGTTTAACTACAATAAAGGTTTTTTTGGGGGGGGGCTTCCTTGTCTGCATATGTACCTTATCTGCAGGATTTATCGTTACGCCAGTAGGTGGAGACAAATGACCGTCTATATAAGTGAGTCATTGAACTATCAATTCAAATGATTTGTTCAATCAGAAGCTGCCTGAACGAGTCATTGAAACATTCAACCAATTCGTTCGAAAAACAAATTGTTGCAGCAGTTCTGCTGTGGCTTTGTTTTAACCTTATCTTTATCTAGTTGTCAGAGCAAAAACAATAACTAAATCTTTTTATTTACACCCCACTGTTTTGGCACATTACAGGGCACAGGTCTTCAACCCTGCTCCTGAGAGGTCACACAGCATTTAACCACTATTTTACAATAATCATTTCAATTTTAAGTAGTGTCTT